ACAGAACTGGGGTACAGGCCAGAGGCTCAGGGGCAGTGAGAGGCTTCACCAGAGACAGAGCAGGGGGCAGAACAGGCAGATCTTCTAAGTACACTGCTGAGGGGAGCAGTGGGCGGGCCAGGAGATGTCTGCTGCGCCATGTGGTCACCTCCGGGGCAGGCGGGGATCGAACTCATGCGGAAGTGGCTTAAGCTTCTTAGCACAGTGCTTTAACCCGCTGCGCCACCAGGGAGGGCCATCTTAGCCACTTTTAAAGGCACCGCTCCGTGGGGCTGAGCGCACTGACCCTGGGAAATAGAACTCTCTTCACCTCGTAAAGCTGAAACTGCCCTGTTAAACCACAGCTCCCCTGTCTCCCACTCCCAGCCCCTGGCCACAGCAGGCACCTTCCACGAGTGGGCCTGCAGAGTCTGTCCTCGGGCGACAAGCTCATTGGGCACCTTCTCCAGGCTCCCCCGGAAGAAGCAGGGGCAGACTTCTCTGCCTTTCTGGGCTCCCTCAGATGTCTGAACAGGGCACAGCATCCCCATACGGGCCACAAGCCAGTCCTCGCTGCTTTTATCTCAAGTTGGCACAGATGGGAACCTAGGTTTGCAAACTGTGCCAGAAAAGGGAGGGGACCCCATGAGCTCTGCCTTCACCTCCTTTCTCTCCTACCACGCTGCGGCCCCACTGCAGAGCAAGCCACCACCCCCGGGAGTGACTTCGGGAAGTCTAAGGGCACAGGGACCCTCTGTGCCTTACATAACTGACACACAGGTCCCCAAACCGATCTCCAGCCAGCATGGGTGCCTGAGACTCACCGGCAGGAACAGGTACATTTTCATCAGGACTACCTGAGCATCCTCCTCGGGGCCCGCCTTCACCCTTGGTCCTGTCCTGCCCTGGCACTTCCCACAGGGGGCCCCCCTGCATGCCCCAATAATCTCACCACAGACTCAGCCCCCAGGTACTGACCCAGGCACCATGGTGCTCCAGCCGAAAGGACCTGCACCAGTCCCACCCTGTGAGCATCAACCAGCTCCTCTTCACCCCCCAACCCCCACCAGGGAAGCAGTAGAGTCCCATGGTCAGAGCAGACATTCTAGCACCAGTCTGCCCGGTTAGAAATCGGGACTCCTTGCTCTGTGTGTGTGTATGTGTGTGTCTGGGGATCCGTGTGTGTGTATAAGTGTGTGCCTGGGAGGACGGGGGTGTCGGCATGCGGGTGTGTCTGCCAGGCTGCATACGTGTGTGTGTGTGTGCCTGTGTGAGAGGATATGGAAACTCGGACCTCAACAAACCCCAGAGCTGGGGTCTGAGCACCCCCCGGCCCACGAGACTTGGTGGTCACACCAAGGACCCACACATCTCAGGAAGGTTCTCACTACGATGAACCCCATCCCTGCTTCTGCTCCCTTCTCTGGTTCATCTACTGAGCTCCCATTCCTCTCTGCGCCCCAAACTTACACCTAATTTCTGTTCCTGCAATACCATGTCCCTGGTAGACAGCTGCTCCCACCACATCATCCACCCAATTTCTGCTCCTACAATACACAGTACCCTAATCTTGCTCCCTGTATCCGCTCCCGCAATACCATCCAATCCAGGTTCTGCTCCTGGCCCTCATCTCTAACCCAACACTCTAATCTTAACCTGCAGCGCCTTATACCTCCATCTCTGCCCCACAATGCCATGCACCCCACCTCTGCACCTGCCCGTGGTGCTGTTGGCAGGGCAGCTCACATCACTCACGTCGGGCCTGGATTGCTCTGGGTGGCCTTGGGTGCACTGACTCTGCCTTTCCAGGGCACTAGGGGGTGACTGTTCAGGGTTCCCATCACCCCTGAGGGAGTACACAGCTCAACACCATGGCCCAGAGGGAACCCGAGCCAACTCACCTTTGTCCGGGAAGCCAGACTTGGGGGCCTTCCGGTCCTTCAGCAGGGCTTTGGGGTTCTGTGTCTGTGTGATGAGGGAGCCCGGGGCCTGTCTGTGGGCAGGTAGGTTCTTGTCCAACTTCTTAGAAAATGGCCGATGAAGAAAATCCCCTCTTTTTTCTTGTTCTTTGGGTTTTTTGTCCTTCAAATCAGAAGCAAACACACACTCAGACACCACCAGAGCAGATGATCCCATCCCGCTTTGAGGAGGCCCCAAGCTGAGGTGTCCCAGCCATTCACGCCCGCCTGATCGAGCTTGGGGTTGTCTCCCAGATGCTGCACGGCCCCGCCTCCCTCTCCTTGGGCAGCAAGCTGGGGCCAGGTCACCCCGGGAGACCGACTATTCAGCATTGGCTGAAGGAGCCCAGCAGAGCAGAGGGGGACTGCTGGAGCACCCCAGGGGCTCAGGGCTTCTTCCACAGCCCAGGTTTTGCAGCAGCACCCACAAACCCAGCTGCTCCCGTCAGCTTTCGTGTGTTTGGTCAAGTCAAAGAAGTGGGCTGCAAACTGGGTGTCCTGAGCCCAACCAGGTGAGGTTCTGGCTCTTTTCCACCCTTGGGCACACGAGGACTTGGGAATTCCCTTGAGCCACGTTGGCTGTGAATTTTGCTTTGCTGAACTTGATTGTAATCTTTCTGATGGGCGTGAATTTGACTATTTTATGTATCTTCAACCCCACGGTCTCTGGTTTGGGTCCAGGCACTCAGAGAAAGCTTAATAAATATTGAATTTTTTTTTTAAAGCCAGTGGAAAACCAACTGAATTAAATTTAATTGAGTTCGAGCTTCTGGGAAGGGCGATGCCACTGAGATAAAGTTCTTTTCTGGCTCAAGACTGCCTTTGATGTTTACTGTTAAACAGAGGTGACTCAATCCCTGACCTCACCATGAATAACAAAAAAAGAGACCAATTTTCACATTTTGCCTTCCACTTTAAGAGCATTTGCAAGAGAGTTCATCTATTTTTCATAGATGTTGAAAAGCTTTTGGAGGAAACATCTCTGGCACTCGGGTAGCCCTTCTTAGTGAGATTTTCAAAGACTTCTCAGACCAGGCTGCCTTGTTTTGAGAGGGGGAGACCAGGAGGGAAGAGAGGAGGAGGGTGGGGCCATGTGGGGTGATGGTGGGGGGGGAGCGGGGAGACACGAGACGAGGGAGCTCTCCAGGTGACATAGAAAGAGAAGAGGTGACGTTCCTGCAGACTCCACTTCAGTATCTGTCCAGTCACCCCAGACTTAGTGACAACCCCGGGGTGCCGGGGCTGTACTAGGAGCATGACTCATGAACAGGCAAATCCTGGCGTGCTAAATAATTGAAAACAGGTCTTCACAGCCTGATAGTCGATGTTCCTGAGCTTGACTCCACACTGCCCTTGGGAAGCTGAGGCAGGGACTGTGTTGCCCTGGTCAGTGTCTGGATGCCATGGAAGGGGCAGGGGACCGTGCCCACCACATTGCCAAGGTCAAGGTCAATCACAACCCTCCATGGCTTCCCTCACCCTGTTTCTGCCAAGCAGCTGTCTTCACCCCCTAACCCCCAGCATCAAAGACCATGATGAGCTTGTGCTGAAAACATTCCTCCTTTTGCTCAGTTCTTTCGATCTCTATTTTTATGAGAAAAGTCACCAGTTCAACCTGTCAACACCTTAAGCAGGAAAAAGGAAATCAAACACACTTTTGTAATATACCGTAACACATATTTGGAAGAGAAGAGAAGATTGCTGCTCCTGCCTTTTTAGGCTTTTTTTTTTTTTTTTTTTTTTTAACAATGAGCAAATCTTCCTGCTGGACTGCACTGAGATCCCTCCACTTAGATGGCGGACAGTGGCTTTCTGGGGCCATCTCAGCTCCAGCAGACTCTCCTGACTCTCCTTGCAAAAGTTGAACGATCAAAATGGGGAATTTCTGAGTAGCACCTCCCCCCTTCACCCAACACCACCCTATCACGGGGCTTTTAACACCAAGGAGTGTAGCAGGCACAAGCACTTTCTATAGAAAAAAAAAAAAGACCAAGGGTGGTCTAGAACTTGCTCCTGGTAACTGACAAAAGCACATTTGCAAAAGGGCTATTTAGCAGAAAGCCCACTGTGAGGGCGGAAGAGTAAGTGGGTGGGGTGGAGGGGCTGAAAATTCCAGGAAGCCCTGCTAAGGCAGCTGTCCAACTCCATCCAGAGACCCTGCATCCTGGCATCTCCTCCAACCCCAGGCACAACCCCCCCCCCACCAAAAGGAATAGGCCACTTCACAGTTTCACAGTACTGGTTTCTAGTGGGATACAAAATTCACCACCACTCTCTCCCTGAGGGGGACAAGCCCCAGATAAGCCCACGTGGAAGGACTACCTGCCATGTGTTGTTCTCACCAGTCATGTCAGAGCTGCCAAACACAAGTCACCACAATCAAGCGATCACCCAATGGCGCCTATTCATGGTACAGTCTATTTTCTCCAAAGGAAGTTTGTTCAGGAGCAAGATGGTAAATTGCCTCATGTAGCAGAAAGCAATTTTGCTCCCCTCCAGTGTGCCTGCCCCCCCTCCTGGCCATGGGCAGCCTCTTAGGCTTCCCACAGATTTGGATCCCTGTGGCGGGCGATGGAAGCTCGGCTGCGGGCTGGAGGGTGCTCTTTAAATCCTCACACAGTCCCACATCCCTGACCCCAACAGATTAGAGAGGGGACAGAAGGACTTCTTATTTGAGCCACTTCCCAACCAGACCATGAGCACAGGCATTTACACAAGTGCAAACCTAGAAAATGTGGAACATCTACTAGACACTTTCAATGCCACACACTGCTTGATGGAGAACGGGAAGGTGGGGACAGGAGCGGGGAGGAAGGGATGGTGATCCGCCAGGCTTCCGGAACGAGGTGTCTGCAGGTGTCACCGCCAATGGGAGGAAGAAGCTGTCCTCAGCCCAGAGCTCTGAGTTGGGGACTGGTCCTGTTACAGGGCACCCCAGGGTGAACTGGGCCGCCTGTCTGTGGGGCCTCACCCACGCGCCTAAAATTCAGTGGTACTGCAGGTGCACACAAAAGGGTCAATAATGGGTTTACTTACAAAAAGGGGAAAGGAAAGGAACGACCCAGGGAAAGAGACAGAGATACAAGGGAACTAGAAAATCTTAGGGCTTGGGTGACAAATTAACTGAAAGCCCTGAGTCCCGGTCCCGATTCCGAGCGCTGTTTCCGAGCGAGTTTCCCATTGGAAAATGGCGCTCTATTTGTTCCCCAAAGTCCCAAATGCCTGCTTAGCTCTGCTCTTGGAGCTAAGCAGTTCTCTCCCTGGTGCTGCTGGGAGTTGTAGTTTCCAATCACTGGAGTAGGGAGTTGGAGTCCAGAAAGCTGGAGTAGGGGGTGGAGTCCACAAGACTGCAGAGTTCCTTTAGGACATCCTGCCCCTGAACGGTTCTGCTCGGACTCCCCCGTGGCTCCAGTTGCCTGCGTTCTCAACAGTGGCACCCACCCCTTCCTTCTGGTTTTGCTCCCATGGGTGCAGGAGGATCACCTTCCTGCAAGGCACTGCCCCCAAGGGATGAGTCTCTCTGTCTGTAACCAGAAGAGTGGGACCGTCCCACCTCTGCCCGTGTCAAAACGAGCTTCACATCTCTCTCGCTTCACTGTCTGAGAGGCAAATGCTCAGGCTTAAGCAGGACGGAATGTGCCTATACCTGGTCTTCAGCTGGCTGCAGCAAGAATGGACCACAGAGCATGAGGTGGGGGCTCGAGGGTGGGGGACGGCTGAGGCCAGCTGAAGCTATTTCCTCTGAGACACTCTCAAGTTCAGCTTGGGGCAGGCCTCTCCCGAGCCCAGTGTGCCCCTGATGGTCATGCGGCCTCCCCGGGGGTCTGCAGCATCAGAAGCAGGTGTGGGGTGTGAACACCTGGGCGGGCCCCCAAGGGCCTGGGTGCTGTCTGCTAGCTGATTTTCGTTCCCTGCTGCCATCATATCAGGGAAAGCCACAGAGAAAATCAAGAGTGAGTTGAGAACACAGGAGAGAATCAGGCCACTGAGCCAGGACCTAGGCACTGGTGCAAACCCAGCTCATACAGGCAGGAGCAGCAGTGGAGGCAGTGAGGACAGTGAGATAACGAACTGCCAGCAGCACCAGAAAGGGGGTTTGCCCTGCTCGGAGGGGATCCCGGGCCCCTCACAACTGCATTCAGCACGTTTCAATTCAGAGTGATGATGGGCTTGACCTGAGGCAGAGTCCTGGGCAGAGACACGTCCCCTCGGGATGAAATGGCCTGGCTACTTCTGTGTGTCAGCCTGCCTGGCCAGGCTGCCCACTTTTTGTCAAACACAGTTGCTGCTGAACAAAGTTTTTCATGGTTGTTGTTTGTTTGCTTGTTTTAAATAATATAATAGTTTATTTTTACATCATTTTGTGCCTTTTTCCATCTCAGTTGTAATCCCCGGGGGCTTCCCATCACCAAATCATCCCTGTGCCATCACCACAGTCCAGTGCACTTCCCTCCCCGCCCTGATCTTGACCCCATTTCCCACTCCACACCCATAAAACGTCTCTGGTATATAGTTTGAACAGTTTTTTTAAAGGTGCTTAACATTTGTATCAACGGACTTGTCTTAAAGCAGATTACCCTCCATGACACGGTGGGTCTCACCCAATATGTTGAAGGCCTGACAAGAAAAAGAGGACCAGGGAACTCTGCTTTGAGGTAAAAATCAACTCTTCCCTGGATCTCCAAGCCCCTCACACACACACACACACACACACACACACACACACACACACACACACACAACTTGGTTCTGTTTCTCTGAAGAATTCTGACAGACTCAGCATGACCTTAAAGTTCTTACCTGCACAGCATGGAACTCAAGGTCTCTTGTCCAGGTGTCCAGGGAAGCCTGTGAAAAGGAGCATTGTTCAACAATTCAAGACACTCCATCTGCTCTTTCTCCTCTAAACACTACTGCCAACCTCTCCACCTCTGGCTCTGGCTAAGAACTACTCATCTTAGTGCTTATGGACAAGAAAGCAAACTACCCAATGGTCATGGCAGCAGGCGGGTGTCCTCTGTCATGCATGGAACAGATGCTCTAGGTAAACTTTCTGTGCAAGTCCGAGACGCCCAGCAGAGGGGTGTGCTAGAGTGAGCAAGCAGCGCGGTGTGGAACCAGCCCCAAGACTGAGGGACAGAAGCCGACCAGCAGCCGGGAGCCCCTCCTAGACATCCCCCCCCCCATTGCTGTCTCTCTCCCAGTCTGATTTCAACATGGTTTAACCTGATTCCAAACCTTATTTTTAGAAGTTATACCGATTTTGAAATAAGAAGCAAAGCGCACATTTTGCTAGTTACAGTTCCTGTGGTGGGGTGAGCTGTATTCTCCCCAAGTTCATTTGCTGGAGCCCTCACCCCCAGGACTCCAGCGACACCCCCATCTCAAGACAGGGTCTCTTTGGAGGTAAGCGGCTTGACTAGGGCAGACCCTTATGCAACGCAACTGCTAACCTTCAGTCAAGGGGGACAATGGACATAGACTCACCCACAGGGAGAACAGTCAGCGATCGAGCCAGGCACCTACAAGCCAGAATGCCAAAGACTGCAAGCACCCCCCAGCACCTAAGAAACAGATTCTCCCTACACACCCTGGGACACCTTAGTCTTGAATTTCTGGGGCCAGAACTGCAAGACAACAGTTTCTGCTGCGTGAGCTGCTCGGCTGGTGGGACTGAGCTGTGGTGGCTGAGCACTCGGTCACGTGGACACAGGGCAGCGTTTCCTCCCAGACTGCAATATTACTTTGTCCCTACAGAAAGGACTTCCTAGTTCTGTTCACAATTTCTCCAAATTCACATTTGTAAAGACTTTTACAAAAATGGATTCTGGTTCTAGATGACTCGAAGCAGCCACTTAAAAAAAAAGATGACTAGGCCCTCCCTGGTGGTGGGACAGCACTATGAAGCTATGGCAGCCATTGCAGCAGGAGTTTGATCCCCAGTCAGGAAGGTGACCCATAGGTGCGGCAGACCTCTCCTGACCTGCCCACTGCCCCCCTCAGCAGTGTACTTCATCCATCTGCCTGTTCTGCTTCCCATTCTATCTCTGGTGAATCCTCTCACCACACCCGCCTTGGCCTGTACCCCAGTTCTGTATGGATAAATAAATAAATCATTAAAAACAATGACGACTGCCCCCCTGCCTCAAGCCCTCAAGGGCCTCCTAGAGGAAGAGGAGACCCTAGGAATGTGCCTGGGTGAAACATGGGTCCCATTTTTGCAGACATCATCTCTGCCTTTCATGGGAAGAAGAGGTAGCGAAAACAGTAAAATACTTCTCCAGAGGGAAGTTTTTTCAACTTAATTCAGTCCTTTTGTCTCAAGGAGAAAAAAAGAACTAGAACCCAGAAAACAAAGAGGCCACGGCTGGTACTAGGCACATCCCCACTGGCCTGTGTAAACCACAAATTTCCAGGCCCTCACCCCTCTGCACCCAACTTGTCCCTGTATCCTGAACCTGCCTTGGGCACCCAACTTGTCCCTGTATCCTGAACCTGCCTTGGGCACGGGAAAGAAGCCCACAGTCCCTGCATGGCCGGGCTGCGTGGCCTTGACTGAGCGAATCTGGGCTCCTTTTGACTTTTCAAGCCTTTTCTAGCTGGCCCCATTCCACTGTCTGGGTGCAGTGAGAGGCGTGGAGGACCTCGCCACAGCCTGTCATTTAATTAGCAGCAATCTCACCGACGTTTGGAGAAAACAAATGGATCATAGAGAATGGAAAGACTGCTTTCCCATGAGTGCTCCCATTTAAACCCTCACCGTAAGTATCTCACCAAACGTTTAAACCACTCGGGTACTTTGGGGCCCAATGAACTATGCATCTGAGGAAAATGACCTGTATGCAAGACAGAGCCCCTTCCCCGTTGCAGCTGTGACACTTTCCAATGCACCAGGGTGGGGGTCGGCTGGAGGGTCCCCAGAAGTCAGCAGTGTGGCTCGGAGACCACTTGGGAAATGCAAAGGCAGACACTCGGTGCAGCTAATCATGGATTGCTGTTGCTTGAGGCCCTAAAGTCAAGTGCAAACAGAGGAGGCAGGAGGGCCTAACAGTGAAGTCTGCTCTCCCTGGACTCCAGCTGAGGTTACCCCCTCACTGCCAGTGCTTGTACTGGGCTGTGCTGCGGGGTTCCCTTGCTTGCCTGGAACTTTCTGTCTTCTTCTGTGGCTGTTCCAGTTCTACCCACTTCCAGACATTCAAGCCAAGGCCAACCTGATTTTCTCATTTGTTCATTTGGCCAATATTTACTGAGGGCCAGGTGGGTGGGGGGCGCTGTTGGGAGCCAATTCTATGATCCCTTATAATCTCCCAATCAACTCCTCTTTTGACACAAAGAAATAAGTCAGTTTCTGTTATGCATTCTCCTCTCTCCCTACGCATCTCATCTTACTTCCTTCTCCTGATGCACTTATATTTTTGAGTAAGTCCTTAATGGCATCAAAAGGTTCTCAGAAGCTGCAGCACGAAGCAACATGACATGTAAGGAATGCTACCAAAGATTGACTGATATAAACAGAAGTTCCTACAGCAAAGTTCTGGCTACAAAAAAAAAAAATCGCCAAATATCTAAGAAAAGACCCTTCCCCAGAAATGACCTCCAAATGTTCCTAATATTCAACTGTCTTCTGTCTTCACTCATTCATTTTCCGCTCTGCTTATTCCAGGTCAGGGTCAAGGTTGGCCACAGCCGCTCATACCACCTCAGGACAGAAGGCAGAACTCAGCCCTGGACAGGACCCATTCACTGCAGGCACGTCCCACCCACACTGCGAATGGGACCAGAGCCCCGGCAGGGAGCCCTATGTGGAGGTGGAAGGAAACCAGCCCAGAGGAGACCCCAAAGCCACGGGGAGAATGTGCCAACCTCCCAGGAAGTGACTCTGGCCAGGACTTGAGTTTTTTTCATTTTCATCAATGTGATAATAAGCAACATTGAGCAAAACAGGGTGATCTGAGGACCTGCTGGAGACCTGACAGTTGTTCCTAACTCTGACAGCTCAGAGGGATTGTCCAGGCAGCTTTAGAAAATACTGTGCCCCGAGGCCTGCCCCATGAGAGTCCTTGGCATTGTGTGAGGTCCACTCTGGGCAGCCAGATGTCTAAGTGCCCCCAGGAGCTCTGCTGTCCCACAGCGCAGAGGGCGGGCCCTCAGGGATCTGCCACAAACCATCCTCCAGGGCTCCGTTAAGCGAGTCAGTGCTTGTCTTTGATTCAGTCTATGTCCCACAGTCATTGCTTTCCTTCCACTCACCCCTAAAATGAAAACCCACTCTGCCTAAGAGATCCTGGCGGCGGGGGTGGGGCTGGGGGTCACACTCACCTCATAGGGCTCCTTGGAGGGCCTGCACTTCTCTATCTGGTAGAGCTGGGTCTTGTAGCACACGCTGTCCTGGATATCGGATTTCTACCAAGGAAGAGGAAAGAAGTTTGGCTCAGATCACGGGAAATAAAATGTCCATTAAATGGTCATTAACTTTTACACCAGAGCTTGGCAGGACAAGTGCCAACCCGGTGGGCACGTCACTAGACTGCCTGCAAGAACAGCCCTGAGCCCAGGCAGGCATCCTACTTCTGCTACTGGCTGTGCCAGGGAAGTGCCAGCTCGGCCCGTAGGTCACTGTCCTGTCTGGACGCTGGCTCCTTCATCTGTCTGAGGAAGTCTTCTTCAAGGCGCAAAAGCAGAAATCAAATACATGAGCTGGGAAGATAGCTTATTTGATTGAACTACCAGTGGGATATGAATCTTGCTGGTTTGCTTAGCTAAAAACAGCCCTTGTCCCTATCCATCCCCAAGCCCCTATAAAAGTCACACGATTCATAATTCAGCTTAAAGAAGAAAATAGATATACGTATGATAAGCTAGGGGTGATCCTCTCAGGTGACAGATGAAACTAAATGACTGACTAATGCATCAACCCACAAAGACCCTTACAGGCTTCCCAACCTAATGTCTATGCAGCTTGTTTCAGAAAGAGGAAGCAAGAGCTGAGAGAGAAGGGAGGGGTGACCACTATAATCAAGGTGTGGGATTGTACTTCCTAGTTTCAATTTCTGAATCAAACCTGGATTGTTAGTCACTGGCTGATGAGATTAGCAACTAGATTATATTAGCAACTATATTATATGTACAATTATATTAGCCACATGTGGAAATCACCAAGCAGAACAGTGACCGTCTAGGGGGATCACCCTCTATTTAAAAGCAGCCACTTAGCTAAATGTTGGTCCCAAGGTCAGGGATGTCCAAAGATTTCAGGGCTCAGTACAAAGCAAACACAATCAAAAAAGAACCTTTCCCAGCTGGAGTGACACGAAATATTCTCAGTAGACAAAGCCACACTCTGCTTTCCAAAACTACCGGACTTGTGACTGTGATCTTGGACAAAATGAAATAGCAGAAGCCAGCAGCTGGCAAGACACCCTGATAAACCAAGACACAGAGCTTTAGACACTGTCTCTCAGGGATGAGGTGTGTGGCTGCTCAGGAACAGTAAGGAAAAGAAGATCCCTGAGTGGATCCTCTTCTCTTCCTTTTACTTGAGAACATTTACATTCTTAACCGATCACCCTCTTGCACATGTCCCTGGATGGTGTGGCCCCTCAGCCCTTACTAGGGGAGCAGTTGTAAGCAGACACCCAGCATTGCAAGCACAAACCATTGTACCAATACACCGGGTCTGTTATAAGATGAGTAGTAAAATAACAAAGAAAGGGATGTGGGGCTGACGGTACCCTTATAAAAGAGAAGTGAGAAACAGCTTTGAGAGAAACCCAAGAGATTTTCCTTTCTTTTTTTTTTTTCTTTAAAGATATATTTATTTTTGCATACAGAGCTGGGGTACAGGCCAGAGGGGCAGAGGCGGTGAGAGGATTCACGAGAGACAGAGTGTGGAGCAGAACAGGCTGACTGACGAAGTACACAGCTGAGGGAGCAGCGGGCGGGTCAGGAGAGGTCTGCTGGCCATGCGGTCACCTCCGGGACAGGCGGGAATCGAACTCATGCTGAAGTGGCTTTAGCTTCTTAGTGCTGCGCTTTAACTCGCTGCACCACTAGGAAGGGCCCCCAAGAGATTTTCTTAATCACCCCTTATTGCAAAAAATGATATCAATAATAAAATATGTGTCCAGCCTCTCTGGTGGAGGAGGGGTTAAGTCTCAGTGCTATCACCATTATGGCCTGAGTTCGATTCCCAGCCAGGGAGTGACCTACAGGGTGCAGCAGACCTCTCCTGTCTCACCCGCTGCTCCCCTCAGCAGTGCATTTCAGTCGATCTGCCCACTCTGCTCCCCACTCTGTCTCTGGTGAATCCTCTCATCCCCTGCACCTCTGGCCTGTACCCCAGTTCTACACAAAAGTGAAAGAAAAAAATCACAATTAGAAAAAAAAAAGTATGTGTCGAAAGCTCTGCCTTCCTGGGCTCGAAGTGCCACCCACAGCAGCTCTCCTGTGCCCACAGCATCATCTGTAAAATCTAGTCCCAAAGCTGTCTTTGTCCTCTGCATGCATCCTGTCGCTGTGCATGTGCGGTGCAGTTTCCCCACAAAACATTTTTTATGTTTAGCAGTCTTTTACTACAGAGTTAATTCTTCTTGTGTACCTCTTTTCTTTGGTGTTTGACCAAAAAATGCTGTTTGGAGGATAATTTCCTATCGAAGCAAAATCTAGCAAATAGCCTGTGCTGAATCAGCTTAGAAACAGCTGCACTTTCGCCCAACTGTTAACAGACTTCCCGCTGAGCCGCTTCGTCCACTCAGCAAGTTCTCCTGACCTCTCTTGAACCTCTTTGCTGACAAGAGACACGGACACGCCGGCCACCGTGGCTGCCAAGCATTAATCTGGGTCATTTCCAGCCTTTTCCCCCAACTACAGGGGGAGGGGAGGTGCAGAGGGAGGGTTCACCTTTAGCTCTAATACAGAAATCTCACACAAGGTTTCTATTGTTTAGTGGACCTTTCGTGACATGTTGGGTTCATGAGTCATGACTTTAAAAAGTGCTAGAAGACTCCAGAAGTTCGTCTTCACATTCTGCTCTCCCACCCATAACCCCACACAATCAATGGATAGGAAATCACGTTTAGGTGGGTGCCCGACAACTCGGACTCCCCTGCCTGGGTCCTGGTGGATGTGTTCAGTGCCAACGTGTCTGAGGAGAAGAAAACAGGGCTGCTCTCGCAGAATCCATGCCGCTGGTGCCACTTTTCTTTGCCAAATTCTTTTGAAGCCATTGTCCATTTGGAGAAAGGCGATTCAGTCAAATTTCTTCCATATGGTCCAATATACTTGCATAAAGACATTCACAGTTGCTTCTTCAGATCTTTTCTTTGCATCTCTGTGGCATCTGTTGTAATCGTGCCTCTTTCATTTAGTCTTTTTATTTGCATTTGCTCCATTTTTTTTTCTTAGAGTCGACTTAAGTATTAAAGAATCTATTTTGCCTATCCTGTCAAAGAAAGGCAATCTGAACACCAGGAGAAGGTATTTGCACACCACAAGGGATTAATTTCCAAACTATATAAATAACTTATGTTAGGGAGAAAGGATGTCCTAAAGGAACTCTGCAGAGTTTTCTGGACTCCACCCTCTACTCCAGTGATTGGAAACTACAACTCCCAGCAGTATAATGGAGAGAACTGCGAGGACCCAAAAGTGGAGCTAAGCAGACATCCTGGGGCTTTTGAGGAGATATAAGGGAGCCATGTGAGACACGTGCTCTCTCTCTCTGGACTGCGTGGCTGGTGGCTGGTTGTTTGGCTCTTGGTGAGCTATCACTGTACTGGAGTTCCAAGCCAGCAGAACTGCTAGGATGTTCTAGTTTACTTGTCTCTCTCTCTTTCTTTCTTTCCCTGGGTTGTACCTTTTCCTTTCCCCTTTGTAAATAAACCCATCATTGACCCTTTTTGAGTGTGCCTGCAGTATAATTGAATTTTAAGCACGTGGGTGAGGACCCACAGACAGGAAATCCAGCTCACATTGGTTGCCCTGTAACAGCTCAACAACAACAACAAAAAAGAACCAATCAGAAGGAAATGGGGAAAAGACCTAAATAGAAAACTTCTCCATAGACATTCTGTGTCCCTACATGCTCACACAATATCACAATGCTTAAGATCAGCCATTAGAATCAAAACTACAATGAGACATCACCTATGGGAGAATGGCTTATGTCCAAAAGCCTGGAAACCACAGTGTTGGCAAGAACGTGGAGAAAAATGAACGTGATCTGAACAACCTCCATGGGAACAGCTTGGAGCCTCTCAAAAAAAATAAATAAACACGGACCCAGTAATTCCAGTGTGAGGTATTTACCCAAAGGACATGAAAACTCGAATCCTGAATGATTTCTGCATCCCCATATTCACTGCAGCATCGTTCATGGACACAGCCATGGCTGTGGGCCATGGGGCCCAAACGCCTGGGGCCGGGCAACAGGTAAAGAAACTGTGGAAGACAGCCTCGGCGGGACACTACTCAGCTATTAAAAATAAAAAATGGTGGCTTGGTGGACAAAATGGGTGGATCTTGAGGTGATAATGCTGAGTGAGATAAGTCAGAAAGTGAAGGGTGGATACAGGATGGTTTCACTTACTTTTGGAACCTAAATAACCAAAGTGGAACAAACTGACAAGGCCCACCAAGAGTAATTCTTAGACTCTGAGCAGTGTACTGGTCACCAGGGGGAACGGGATGGGGTGGCGCAAGAGGAGGAAGGGGGATGAGCAGTGGCCCTGGAGTTCTGGCGGAAGCATGTGCACCTAGGAAGGTGTGAAGTTGTACACCCCATATTATAAAGTTGTGGAGACAACAAAGTAAAAAGAAAACAGTAATTTAAAATCCTGGATACCCACACATGCAAAATTCTGTAACCGGGCACATAGAAAATGACTATGGTAAAGGATGGCCCCTTTTTACAGAGGGGGAAACTGAGGCCCACAGCAGGGAAGTAACGTGCCCAAGGTGACGTAGGCAGGAAGTAGTAGCAGTCCCAAATTCAGATGCTCAGAAGCCAAATACCAAGCCATAGACTGAGAGTGCTGTTTGCCTCAAGCTCGGGGTCTCCCTGCTGAACCCCGTCTCTGGCACCGACACCTGGACTTTCTGATGCCCAGGCTGAGGACAGGGGCCAGGGCAGTCCAGTGATGCTCAGTATGGTCCTCCCTTTCCGGGGAAGCAGACGATGATGGTAGTTTCCTCAAAGGCCACACCATACTTGTTTTTTAATTTACGCGTGAGGTGATGCTGAGGTACCACGCTGCACATGCGGTAGAGTAGAAGCCACACTGACAGGGTGTCCGAGAGGCCCTTCTTCCCAACTGTTTATAACCAGAGAAGCCCCAAACCTCTAACATGGGAAAACCCACAGAGTTGAGAGGTAGTGGCAGGGTGGGGGGACATGTGGACAAACCAATAGAGAAACTGAAAAGAAAACCGAATCGCTGACATTCTGTCCAGGGCTTAACTCTGTAGGTGGATAATTGAAAAGCAGCTCAGATAAAAAGTGCTGCCCGAGAAGCAGGTTTAGTTACTGTTCTAACCCACATTCAAGAAACTCAGCCTCCCTGACAATAATGGCTTAGATCGAGTGTCAGCAAGGGAGACACTTTGGGCAATAGACCTTTTTTCCACAGAGGGTAGAGAAGAGTGCCGTAGGGCCCCACTCACCCCTGACAAATAGCGCTCCAGTTTCTTGTTTAAAAGGAAGTAGATGGCGAGGATGTGGCAGGCGCGGTTGGAGAGCACGGTGTTGATGACATCGCTGTTCTTATAGCCCAGCTTCTCGGTCATGTGCAGGACCACGCTCGGACTAAGGTCTTCCAGGGAAATCCTGCATGGCGGAGACAGAGAGGAGGAGGAGGATCACGGATCCAGTTCACAGAGAGGCTCCAGGGCCATGGGCTCACAAACAGGGCAGGATGATCAGATCCACCCACCCAGCTACTCATCCATCCATCCACCATCCACCCATCCAACTGCTCATCCATCCATCCACCACCCCCCACCCAAGTGCTCATGCCTCCATCCACCACCCCTCACTCA